CTGTTTTTTGAAGGATAGTCTTGCTGGGTACAAAATTTGGAGTTGATAGGTTTTTTTGGTTGCAATATTTTAGAGATGGGATTGCATTGTCTTCTGGCCTCCATTCTACTTTTTCTCCCTCTCCTCTTCCTTATTCTTTTTCTCTAATAATAATGAAGCCATAATTTTGTATTGTTACCCTGTTTGTAAGGTCTTTGATTCTCTGGATGTTTTAAAAATTTTCTCTTCACCATTGGTTTTCAGTAGTTTGATTATGAAGTACTTAGGTGGGGTATTATTTGTATTTATCCTGCTCTCAGATTCTTGGTTCTATAAGCTGAAATTCTCCATCAAATGTAGGAAATTCTTAACTATTCGTCCTGAGGATTCTAGCTTCTGGTTAAAAACCTATGTGGGATTTTTCAGGCCTGGCCATAAGTAATTGCAAAGATTTCCTTGGCAGATATCATGGTGGGAAGCTTCCCTCTTCACACCAAGCTTGGGGCACAGTTAGTGCATTGCAGTGTCTGGAGGGAATTGCAGTCAAGGACTTGGGTGGGTCAGGCTCTTCCCATGTTTGCATTCTGAGCCTCAGTACCTTTATTCCTAGATCTCTTTATCTGAGACCTTGGCAGAGGTCTTTTTTAGGTACCTCTGCTGAGGTCTCCTTATAGTAGGAAAGAGGGAGAAAATCTGAAGACACTCCCCATCACCACCCCCCACCAACTCAGTGCCTACTACTTTTCCACTTATTATCCTCTCTTCCATCTGACCCTATGGTTCATGAAACTGCTGGAGTCTTTTGTTAGGGGCTCTCTCAACAGTGAGACAATCCCCATGCCTGCTCTGATTCATCTGACCCATGACTGGTGAGCCATTTCATGAGGAAATAAAACAAAGGAGAGCCAGTGTTGTCTCTAGGTTTAGCCTTTAGTAATTAAAGGCTTAACTCTTTCATTTTTGCCTTGTTGCTTTAATCTGCTACTTGGATACTTGATAGCTCCCAGCTCCTGATATTTCCTCAAATAATTTTGCTGTCCCATTATCACCTTCTTCTCCTTAAGAAACTCTAGTTACACATGTTAGACTACTTAATAGTGCCCTTACATCTTTGAGGCATGGTTCATTTGTATTCCATCATTTTTTACTCTCTTTTTTCAGATTGTGTGATTTCTATTGATTTATCAAGTCCATCAAGTTTTCTCTTACCACGTTCAATTCCCTCAAAGCCTGTGCAGTGAATTTTTCATTTCAGCTATTGTACTTTTCATTTTTAAATGGTTTTCATTTTTAAATGGTTTTCATTTCCTCTGATGAAATTATGTATCTTTTCATTAATTAAAATCATGTTTTCTTTTCTTTTTTAAATCTAATTTTTTCTTTTGGTTTTAGAAGTAGAATTTAGTGATTTGCTACTTACATACAACACTCAGTGCTTAATACAACAAGTGCCAAAAAAAATACAAGTGCCCTCTTTAATACCCATCACCTATTTGGTTCATCCTCCACCCACCTCCTCTCCATAAACCCTCAGTTTGTTCTCTATAGTTGAGTCTATTATGGTTTGCCTCCCTCTCTTTCTTTTTTTCCCCTTCCTCTATGTTCATCTGTTTTGTTTCTTAAATTCCACATATGAGTAAAATCATGGTATTTTCCTTTTCTTTCTTTTAAAAATATTTTATTTTATTTATTTGACAGAGAGAGAGAGAGAGAGAGAGAGAGAGAGAGAGAAGCAGGGGGAGTGGCAGGCAGAGGGAGTGGGATGTGGGGCTCGATTCCAGAACCCTGGGATCAAGACCTGAACTGAAGGCAGACGTCTAACTGATTGAGCCACCCAGGCATCCCAGTATTTGCCTTTTCTTACTGACCTATTTTGCTTGGCATAATACACTCTAGCTCCATCCACATTGTTGCAAATGGCAAGGTTTCATTCTTTTTGATGGCTGAATAGTATTCCATTGCATATATACCTTGTTTTCTTTTTGTATGTTTTTTTTTTATTGGAGTTCGATTTGCCAACATATAGTATAACACCCAGTGCTCATCCTGTCTAGTGCCCCCTTCAGTGCCAGTCACCCAGTCACCCCATTCCCCCAGCTCACCTCCCCTTTCACTGCTCCTTGTTCATTTCCCAGAGTTAGGAGTCTCTCATGTTCTGTCTCCCTCTCTGATATTTCCCATTCATTTTCTCTCCCTCCCCCTCCAATTCCTTTCACCATCTTTTATATTCCTTGAATGAATGAAACCATATAATGTTTGTCCTTCTCCGATTGACTTACTTCACCGAGCATAATACCCCCCAGTTCTATCCACGTCGAAGCAAATGGTGGGTATTTGTCATTTCTAATGGCTGAGTAATATTCCATTGCATATATATCACCATGTTTTCTTTTAAAAATCTGGCATATCATCCTTTAATTCCTTAACTATGTTTATGATAGCTTTGTTGTCTCATAAAGTGCATATCTGGACCACCCCTGGGTTTGTTTCTACCACCTGCCCCCCCTTTCTTTGGACTATGCATTACATTTTATTTGTGTGTATGTGTGTGAGCATGTCTAGTAATTTTGATTGTATACTGGATGTTGTGGAAGAATCAGTGTGGAGATTGAGTTTTGTGATATTTCTATGTCACTTGTTTTCATTGGTAGTGGGATTAATGGTAGGTCACCTTGTGTAAGCCTTGGTTTTATGTTTTCTTAGGGAGTATCTGTGAAAATTCCATTTTTTTTTCAAAGCATAACTTTAACTTGTGGGACTCAATCTCTATCATTTCCTTCTGGCAATGGTTTGGTTTTAGACTTGGGAAGGGCAGGTCTATTGTAAACTTTACTCTGGGACATGATTCTTACTCCTGAGGAGTAGTATTTCTGGTGTCTCAGCTGGGTGCCTGGGACACAGGTGTTAACAAGTTCTCTCCATTCTTGCTGACAACATCCCCCAACATTGCTTAACCTCAGGTATTTCTGTTCTGCTCTCAACCCCAGAATAGAGACAGATTCTGGTACACTTTGTCTAAACTCTCCCTATACATGTATAGTTCAGTCCTTGGCTAAGCACTTGCAGAGATCCCCACGTCGGATTCTTCCCTCTGCATAGATCTTCAACGTTTGTGTCCCACCTCACAGAATCCACCCTACTTGCCCCACACTCTGAGCTCTGCCTACTGAGCTTCCCAGGACTTCCGTGCTCAGCTTGGTCTCCAACTTACTGTCACCCAGCTGGGAAATGGCTACCTGGGTAAGAGCTGGAGGCTCAATTTGTGAATTTCCCTTCTGTTTGGTGATTTGGTATATGATTTGTGAAAACAGTTCCATCATATGTTGGCTTTTAAGTTGTTTTGGCAGGAGGACTAGTCTAGTATTAGTTATAGGAGACAGCAATACCCACTGTAGGTTCTTGAACAAGGGATAATAAGAAGGTGTTGATGGGCAGTGATAAAGGTGGTTTGTAGAGGGGAGAATTTAAGAGTCAAGGCACTGAATAGGAGGCATCTTTTAAACTGAGAACTAAGGTCAGGATGTGATTTGAGGAAATAAAACAAAGAAAAGGGAAATACCATGCTGGAGAAAGAACTACTCTTGAGTTAGTGATAAGTTGATTGTGAGGAATGGAGACGAGGGTTTAAAATGGTGCCAGAAATGCTTTAAAAAGGAGTTCTTATCTCTGGATGTAAATACTGAAATATTTATGGATGAAATGATATCACGTCTGGGATTGATTCAAAATAATCAAACACAGGGATGAAGATGGGGAAAGGGTGGGGGTAGAGGTGAGATGAGAGTGACCATAGATGACAATTGTTGAAGTTGGGTTATGAGTCCATGGGAGTGTCTTATGTGCATTTATTCTAGTTTTGTATCTATTTGACAACTTCAAATTAAAAATAAACAAAACAAAACAAAACAAAACAGAGTGGGTTATAAAGCTGGGAGGTGGAGTGTCCCAGGGTGAAGATGGGGAGACTGCCCATTTTCGAGGTAGGGGAAATGAGGATGAGGCAGTGGCAGTTTGTTGATGTCTAAAACAGGCTCTTATGCAAAAATGATTTTAAAAATGATTTGTTCCAGCTAACTCATTCTGTTCCTTTGGAAGTACCATCAAGTGCAAGGTATATTTGATTAACTGCTTGAAGATGTGGGTCATACAGCACATGCTGAACAGAGGCTGTGGCATATAGGCCACTCGCTTATCCAACTCTGGATTCAATGCTGGCAGCTCATGTTAGCTCATAAAGCTCTGTGTGGTTCGGGCCTAGACTATAATGGACAGGTATGGCCAGACTCTGGCACACATCTCCCTGAGTGGTTTCTGGAATAATTTCTGGAGGCATTTTGCTGTACTCCCCCTTTCCCTGCACCACCTCCCTGGCCAGCTGTACATGCCTGGAGCCTCCCTGAATCTTGCTTGCTCTCACCTGCTTCCTTCCAACTAACTGTGGCCTCTGTAATTGAGCTCAAGAGAGAGGACTGTTCCCATAGCCTAAGGAGTTTCAGGAGAAGTAGAGAGACTTTTCTATAAGTTAAGGTAAAGGAAAAAAGGAAAAACAAACCCACTCATTTTCTTTTCCTACTTTCCACTTCCTTTTCTCACTCATTCAACAAATCCTTTTAGGTGCTACTGTGTGCCAAGTTTTATGGTAAGGAGTGGTTAGAATTCAAAGGTGATCAAGACCCGGGTCCTTCCTTAAGGATCCGCAGCCTGGCAGTGAATGAAAGACATGCACACAGAGTGATAGAGTCACAAGTGCCATGTGAGATGTCTGTCTGGACACACAAAGGACACAAGGAAACAGGGGACAGACATCACTCTTTTCCTCTCTCCTGGGGTCTGGGTTTTAATACTGTCCTTGTGCCCTATCCATAACCTGGATTTTCTCTGAATCTCCATTTTTTCATTTTAAGACAAGGCTATGTATACCCACTTAGGGATTTTGTTAAGTGCCAAAAAAAAAAAAAGTCTAAAAGGATATTAGCTAACCATACTGGTTGATGATAATGGTCATCTTTCCTTCTTTCTAGGTACACCAGTGAAAACAATGGGCCCAACTTTTTCCAGGTGACAGTCAAGTGATCATTGTCACCAGCACACTCGACCTTATGAACATAAGCTGGGGGCTGCAACCATTTCCAGGGAAGATCTGCAAGTAAGAGGAAACTTCTTTTGCCATGGAGGTAATAAATCTTCTGCTTATTGACTTTTAAAAGTGTGGAGGCAAATGTCCCATTTGTCTGTTTAATACCAACCACCACCTTAACATTTGTTTTGCTGTACAGTTTACAAAGTACTTTAGAAAGTCACAAATCACTGGTGTCTCGAAATAACCCTTTGACTTGAGAGAGGAGATTTCATTTGGACCCTCATTTACAGATGTGGAAAATACAGCCCAGAGATGTTAAATGCGTGGCCCAAGATTCATAGCTAGTGGGGGCAGAGCCCACGACTCAATTCTCATCTTCTCTTTCCGAGTCTTGGAGATCACCCACTCCTCCCTGTTAAGAGTCTAGAGCATCCAGGGCTCCCCTTTGGCGTCTTTAGGAGAAGATTGCAAATTATTTTTTAAAATGTCTAAGAAATTAGTTGTATTTGGACCTGTGGTGGGCGTCTGGAACCCCCCAGGCCCTACTGCAGTCACAATCAATCAAACAAACAAATAAGCATCTCCATTGTTTTGTGGATTATTTCCCCATGAGGCAGATGTTTACTTTTCACAAATGAAAGCTCATTGTTGTCAGGAACATTTAAGAGGCTTAACCTGTCTCCTCTGGCATATGGCACTGGCTTTTCATGATAAAACTGGCTGTGTGCAGCGGCAGACGAAATTGCAAGCCTCCCTCTGAAACTTCATCAGTTGCTGTTGCGGGCGTCACTGCTTTCCTATGCAGGGACTCGTCTGGGCCTCTTCCACTGTGAAAGGGGCTGGGGGGGGGGAGGGTGGGGGAAGAAAGGCTGTTTCCTTTGGTAGAAAATACTCATATTTTAATGGGTATGATGTCATGAATTATTAAACTAGCTTAACTTTAAAGCCGAGCCGAAAGAACACATAGTGAAGAATGACCTTGAGACTCTTGAAAAATGGGAGTGTTGACTGTGCCTGCAGACTTGAAGATGGATTTCTACTTTAGTTGATATTTATGCAACTGTGAAACTTGGTCCCTTGTTCCCAGAGAAATCCTTTGTGCAGCCGTGTGGAGAAAGTTATTACATTTTAGTGCAGAAGAGCTGTAAAGTTTCTTTCCTCATGTCTTATGAAAACAGGAGTGCTAGCGATCTTTGTGCTGAGGGATGGCCCTGAGGAATGAGATGCAGAGACAAAAGGTAGCAGACAGGCATTGTTCTAAAAAAGAAGAAGAAGAAGAAGAAGAAGAAGAAGAAGAAGAAGAAGAAGAAGAAAAGAGCCCAACATTAGGTTCTTCTGAGGGGTCTGTGCGTAACCTGGGTCCTGCTTGCTTGCAGGGCTCTGTTATTTTTCTGATTCAAGGTGAATCAAAGGAAAATAAGGTCCAGAAGGATGAAGAAGATTTGCTGGCCAGGGTAGTCTGACCATGTGACAGACACTGCAGCACCTCCCACTGGAACACGGGTGGAGGCCCCTGGAGAGCTCCGAGAGTGTGTGATGCGGGGGAGGATCTTCCAAAGCTTTGGGTTCAGCTACCTCAGGCTCATTCTCTGGCTGCAGAGACACCGAGAACAGGGCAAATGTCCTCGGTTCCCTTCAGTGGGCACGGGGAACCCTCCTCTTCACCCATAGTGACATGTGACTCAGACTTCTTCTTCGTTTGTTGTGACACAGGTTCAAGGAGCAGTGTCTGGAGACAGGAGATAAGGGTGAGCGGGGAGGGTAGAGGAACCTGTAGTCACTGATATTCTTTAAACACTTGCCTCAGTCTTATTACAATTCGTCATGTAGGGGGACAGCATTATCCCCATTTTACAGGGCAAGAAACTGAGGCTCGGGGTGTAAGATTCTTGATGTCACGTGGCTGCTCACAGTTTTGAATCTAGATCTGCCCGACATCAGAGTTTTACGTGAATTTGTCATTCTTGCTATGACATTCTGATTTGAGCCAGTTTTTACTATCTTCTTGGTTGTTTGTTCAAACTCTTGGCCATTACATGCTGATGTCTTCCAGGAGTTCCTTGAGACCCACTCTTCCTCCTTCTGCATATTCCCTGCAACCTGGCCGATGGACCTATGTTGGCTCCTTCTGCAGTGGCCTTGTTCTTTGGTTCACAGTGGCTTTGGCCAAGCCACCTGTTTGGCTGGACAACAGGTGGATGAACAATGAGATTGAGGCATTGATTTCCCCATTTTTCTCTCTGTCGGGCTCTCTCCTGAAGGCCAATGCTCCTGCCTCAGGGGCCTTCTCCATGGAGCTCCCCTTCATGGGTTTGACTAACTGCCCCCTCCCTTGCCCGTTCAAGCTTAGGGGGGTGGTGACAGCCCCTGCACTATCCCCTGTGCTTTCTTCAACACTGCACACGCTTTTGTCAATTAACCCTAGACCGAGGTTAGGACAGGTGGATTAGTCAACCTGAGTGTGTCATTTGCTACCTTCTGGCACCTTTACTGATATAGTGAAGCATCCCTTCAGTGATGTCAGAGTTAATGTTTGGTTACATCTATTAGTGACTCTTTTCACCAAGAGGGAGATGATTTGGGACTTCTCTTTTTATGCCTAAGGATTTCCTATTTATAACTTCCAAAAAGGCTGTTTTTTCATCCCTTACCTTCCTTTTGCCTTTCTACTTGCCTCTCGAATTTCCTCTTTTCCCCTCAAATTGAGTCTGCATGACCAGGGAAAGCCAGTCTCCATGATTATTTTCCAAGATTGAGTTTCTTGGGTCTCCAAAGTCTCTACTCTATTCTTCTATTAGCATTTCTTTGCAAAACAGGCTGTTGGATTGTCTTGAGAAAACGATGTGCATTTACTTGCCTTCTAGAGAAAATTGTTATTTCTCCAGAAAGGAAGGGCAATAATGGAAGTCTGTTCAGTAAGTAACAGTAAGGAGAATAAAGGGGGGAAAAGGCAGGAGATTCAGAATCAAGGTCAGTTTCCTCTGTTGTTGAATTGCAGCAAGCATTTAGTGGTAATAAAATCTTTTTCCTGTATAATACATTTTATATTAAAACTGCAGCCATTTAAATGAGGGATTTTATGTCTGCACAGTCTTTATTGAGCATGAAGGCTTACAAAAATGCTTTTGGTTTTTTTTTTTTCTCTTAAACCATTTTCGAGATTTGAAAAGCCATTCTCTGCCTCCCGGGCTTATAGGAGTAAAGACGCAGAGGCGGGGAGTGGCCACAGTGGCTCACACAGCTCCTTGCTTGTGCTACTTAACCTTGGACCCCTGTTATTCTGGGCCTCTGTGTCTCCTGAATAAATAGTAAATCTTTCCTGATGGCGTGGCAGCTTTATGATGTGGATTCATGCGTATTTTCAGAGGAGCACGAGAGAGCCTTTAATGCATTTTTCCTCCTTTTACTAGTGATTTAGCCAAAGCCTGTGCCTGGTCATCCCATCTCTGGTAAAGGGCAGGCCCTGGTGCTGCAGTGGTCAGCACTCAGATGATCAGTCTTCTAGCTCCAGGACAGGAAGGATTGACTCTGGTGTTATTTCATAGATTGACTTGAAATGGATTAATGCTTCTCTTGAAGGTTTATTGACTCGTGTTTTTCCAAGGTCTTCGTCCTAATTTAATACTGAAAAATTTGTGATCTACCCCTGATCCTAAGATAGTAAGACAGCGAGACCTCAATAGGTTCTCCTAACACAGGATCATGCAGGGTGCAAGTTTCCTAGCCTGGTTTTATGACTCTTCATTTGGGACAGATTGGAAGTGGTCTCAGAAGGTTCAAGGACATGTTGACCTTAGATATACCACAAAGAAGGAGTCAACTCACAGAGCAATTCCATTGTTTTCATAGTCATTGCTGTTATTCATGGGATGAACTGTTGGACCGGACTCTTCTTGGTCACAAGCAAGGTGTAGAGGAAACAAAAACACTACGCATGTAGCTTCTGAGTACTTGAAATATGCATTTGTGTAGGAAATTATCTGCCAAGGGAAGTAGACTGTTGGTGCGGATCTGACCTATAGCAGGAGATGCCTCATAATCTATAAATATCTGCTCTTTGAGTTAGAATGAATTACCTGAAGACGGCAGGCTCCACTTTTACATCTCAGATTGCCAGAACTGCATTTCCCATTGGACAGTTAACAGCACCTTTTAAAATCTGAATTTCCCTAGTACATTGACCTGACCTGACTTCTTAGCCGCAGCTTTCACTATGCTTTAAAAATAGCCTTGATGCCAGCATAGCGGAGGAGACCATTTACTTAAACAACTATTTTGTGTTGCCTATAATGTCATGTAGATCTAAGTCTTTTCTGTATCTTTCTACCACAATGGCAGCATATGGCCTATTGTTACAATCAGATATTCTTGTGAGAAGTAAGAGGCAACGGGTGAATGGAGAGGATATTATTGTTGAGTCTAAAGCTGTTGTTTTGAGCCTTGAACCAAAGTTTCCTGCAGTTTTATTTTTAGAAAACTCAAACCTTTCAGGAAGGGTCGGCCAATATGCTCTGATTTTTATTTTTGATAGTGTTGACTAATGCTTACTTTGGGCTCCTGCAAATTGGTTAGGAGGGCTTCGCGTAGAGGAGAAAATATGGACAAATACCGTTAGTTTACTTAGCGCTGAAGGCACTGGCTGGTAAAGAAAGAAAATGACACAGTTCTTTAAGTCTAAAAAATCGTAATCTCTTTTTGCTCCTGAAGTATATATTCCTGAAAGAGAGCAAAGGTAATGGGAGCAAGAGGGCTGACACTGGCTCAGAAACCCAAACTGCTAGGTCGAGGAGAGAATTGCCTCATTAGAAGAAGACTTTTTGGGTGCCTGGGTGGCTCAGTGGTTGAGCATCTGCCTTTGGTTCAGGTCATGATCCCGGAGTCCTGGGATCGAGTCCCGCATCGAGCTCCTAGCAGGGAGCCTGCTTCTCCCTCTGCCTATGTCTCTGCCTTTCTCTCTGTGTCTCTCATGAATATATAAATAAAATCTTTAAAAAAAAGAAGACATTTTATTAAAATAATGAATGCGTATTATATGGGACAGAATAAAGAATATGATTCCACTGAGTAGACGTGCGGGCACACGTACCCTCGCTT